GGGAACACAGCATGTGTGTGCCCCTTCCTACCGGTGAGGCTGTGAGTTAGCTTAAAGAACACGTCAAGGGCTAAGGGGAAATGAAGCGAGGATGATGAATGATGTTGGAAGAGAAAGAGATGGAGAAAGGATGATGATCAACGTAAAAGGCGAAAAGATGAAACTAAGTAGTGCGATAACACTAGGAGCCTGCCAGAATTCATATGAAACGGATGGGAGAGAGAGGGGGGTCGGGATGTAGAATTCAAATTTAAGTATGACATATACCAGTGATCAACAAAAGTACCGGACGACCGTCCTACTTGACTGCTCCTGTAGAGATAGTGGAAAGCACAGCTTGGATTTGTGACTGGTGTTCACGACTCTGCAACCCCTTATTGGTTTAGAGGCTGAGGGCGACTTGTTGTATGATGTGACAGTGCAAAGAAGATAGGGGACCGGTACGACACTCTGATCGATCCCTGGTACATGGTACATTCTGAGATCTGAGAGTTGGGATGAGATACGAGAACAGAAAAGAAGAGAGGAAAAGGCAAATGATTGGTCGAGGATGGGATGAGAGTTTGGACAATACGGAAACACACGGAAACGAGATGAGTGCATGTCGTACAGGGAATTTAGAGGTCAGATAATGTGGACGGCGGACGGCGACAGAGAAAAAAAGAATAGATTGAAGAAAGTTTTATGATCCAGGGTATAAGTGGAAATGTCCAAATGGTCCCAAGAAGAAGATCGGGTCAAGGCGGAATCGATGGAAGAGAGAACAAGTAAAGGAGAGGTCGGACTGATCGAAGAGGTCAAGAGAAAGGAAATGAGAAAAGATCGAAGGGTCAAGAAACAAAGTAGAAGAGGTGAAAACGAGATGATATTAGGGAAAGAGTTGAATTGGGGAATAAATCGAGAAGAAGAGGAGGAAGAGTACGAGGGAGAAAGCCAAAAAAAGGAGGTAAATTGAATATGACAAGACGGATCAAAAGGATTTCGCAAGAAGATGCTTGGAAAGAAAGAGATCTAGGCAAAATTAAGAACAGGACAGAACAGGGATTGATCAGACGAAAAAAGTAAGGAAGAAAAGGGCGAGGAGGAGGAGGTATTGGCGCTCCATAGGACTGACAGATGTTAGGGAAATAAAACCTGAGGGCCAAAAGACATAACGTTGATCTCGCCTTTTGTAAATCCTTGTTTTTCATTTCCATCTTTCCCTTTGTGTCGTTCGACTAGTCTTGCGATTAATCGTTCTCCGGGCCCTTTTCGTCGGATCGGTCTCCCGACCCTTTTTCGACCCGTCGTTCTCCCGATCTTTGATATTGCCCTTGCCCGTCTACGCCATTTTGTTCCCTCCCTTCAAATTCATGTCGTTCTGGTATAATTGTTGCTGATCATGAAGTTGTTAGGTATATGCTGTCGTAGATCATGTGTAAGTTGTTCAGGTATAAACTACCGTTGATCATGTCCGAGTCGTTCATTTTGTGTGTGAGACAGTTGTCGTGATGATTGATTCAAAGACGAGATCTCTTCTCCTTTTGGAATCTCATTGACGACACTCGACCAATGATCTAAAAACCTCACCACAAGACCAATCGAGTGGGGCTCAACCAGAGATGATCTAAACCTGATGTTTCAACTTTCTGATTCGACCCTCTTTAGGTTGACGAGCCGACCGGTCTACACGCGTATCAATCCGTTGACCGACTTTTCTAGATGGGTCGACATTGAGGAGAGGTGGAGTCCCCCGGGTCCGTCATCAACGACAAAAGGGGGAAGAGATTGAGGGTTTGATCGGGATGGGTATTGAGATTTAGATTGGGTTTGTAGACCGACGAAAACTGTGGATGAGAAGAAGATTGCGGGTGAGAAAAAAATTGTGAATGAGAAGAAGAAGAAGGGTGTGAACGCGAAGAAGGATGTAGCTCGACCACGCTGTCAGACGTCACAACAAAGGTCCCATTCGATTTTCAAGGTTTGAGTCTCCAAACGTCCCAGTTCCAGGTAGATCCAAACCGGCAGAGGCGAGCGGTCAGGGACAAGAGTCGAGAGGTGAGGATAAAGTCGGATCTAAAGATATCACAAACGGTTGTAGACGCTGAAACGGTCCGTCTCTCTCTCATTCTGACTCTCTCAATCGTTCATGTCATCATCATGATGTGGATGTTCATTTTGATTTCGGTATCTCCAAACAGTTTTCTCGACCTTTCCATCGTTTTCGTGCGGATCGATTCCCTCATCTGGATGAATATCATCTTGATTTTCTTCGAAGCTCTCTCTGTCCTGATCCTTGGTCATGACTCTGACGTGACTCGTCTTTTCATATCCACATCGCCTCGGATTGTTGATCTTGTTGATTGAGGGATGGACAAAGCATCCTTGTCGTTCTTGGAAAGATCATTCCGGTCTCGACGGTCTCGATTTGTCGGATCACGAGTCAAAGTCATTCCGTCGAGATTCGGATTCAAACATCGGAACGGGCCTTCTGTTTCGGAGATGGAATCATGTCGCTGTCGATCAAATGGTTGATGTTGGACGTGAGAGGATCAGAACAAGGAGAGGAATGAAGGAC